CTCTGCTAATACCTCGGCCGTGCAATCAGGGAAACACCGCGGAGCCTGCATGTTAACGCCAGGACAAAGAAAGAAATGCAGTTTCCGACAGAGCAATCAATGTTTTCAAGTGTGCATTATGTATCTAAACATTTCTTTATTGTTCGATAAAGCGGATCTTTGGGGCTGTGACTGCCTGAGTGTTGCAGAAGCCTGCCTGCAGTGACAGATGGAGACAGTTTGGTACGTTTGGATTGGCTCCACTGGTTTCTACAGGCACAGCTTTCTTTATAAGACCACTTGATCCACGTCTGATAACAACGCACATGGAAACATCAAGGGAATCCCACTCCATTTGTGACGCTCCCATGATGCAACTGGGATTCATGAAACTGACCATTAACGTTTCTTCCACCACAAAATATATCTCGTGATTTGGCAAATCAGATTGAATAGATTAAGGGTGCTCGTAGGGTTTTATACGGCTGATATTCGACCATAATGGCAAATAAAACATGGTCACCCAGAGGTCATGGTGTGCATAATGGACCAGAACAGCAATCAGGACTTCTATTAGTCATGCACCAAACCAAGACAATCCTGCCTAATGCCATGCATAATAAAGACTCTATAGACCTTTCAAGTAAGCTGATGCCGTCAGAACAACTCAAACACTCCAGCATTGATCTGTTCCAGTATTAAAGCAGACCTTATGGACTATATAGTTATATATAGCTCAGAGGTTGCTCTTGACTAGACGTGTGCTGCCAAAGCAACAGACACGCCTAAACACATTGGGGAGACAACAGGTAACTACAAACTCAAAAAAAACATTATCAAGCTCAGTTTGAGAATACATCTTCTGTTTCATGCTTTAAATTGTAAAATCAAGCCTGAAATTAAAGGGGCTGCATCCTATTAAGAATGAGTTGTGACATGCTCCCAATAAAATGCCATATTGTGAAGAAAAATGTTACTTTTACTTTTCACTTGTTAGTAGATCATTACATAATTTTCTGTCATCTGATATTTTCCTCATTTGCTTTTTGAGACTAAATTGTTCTTCTTTTCCTTTGATGTTTTATAATTGTGTCTTTGGTTCTTATGCAGCAGGTTTTAATTGTTGTTCTCAGAGAGTGCTATAGAATAAACCAAATTCTTACTTTACATAATAGAAAATAAAGACATTGGCTTAACAGTTGCTGAAAGTATGTTGGATGGATTTTCACTCAAGGGAAAAATTATTTTTTACTGCAACACCCTCTCATATAGTGTATGCATGAAGGGTTAATTCATTACGTTTGTAGACATCTTAAAAACGTAATAATTGTCTCAGAAACTACACCCATACCATACTGTTTTTGTAATTCTCTGAAGCCTCACAAACTCTTTGAATCCAGTTTCTCACATCCCCAGCTCTTTGTGGGCCTTATCAGGTAAATCACAGAATTGGGGGGGGGGGGGGGGTCTGGTTTTGCCTCCTGTCTTGAGCAAACCTGAGTGACGTCCATAACAGAGTCCAACATGTAGCCACATCGACCACAGTTATCTCCCACAGCTTTGTGTGTGGTTTAAGGAGCCAGAGCTTTGAAATAAAACATAAATAAATATACACAACACTATAATAATCTTCACCCACTCATCTCCAACATCATCAGGATGTTTGCCGTAGTATTGAGTCATTTCTGTGTTAGGCTTGAGCAGCAGAAGTGTTCTTATGCAACCAAAGTAGCCCTTCAAGACAGACAAACACATCGACAGGCTGGCAGGACACTGACACCCCCCCCCCCCCCCCCCACACACACACACACACGCACACACACACACGGCCTGAATGATGCACTACTCCTTGTCCATGTCATGACGGCTCTGCTCTCCACGAGATGCGCATAAAACAGCCCGTCAGGCATGGAGGAGAAACACAGATGGAGGATTAGCCATGACATTTGCCACAGAAATCGGGCTTTCTGCGTCACGCTGGCGTCATTATTATTACTGTATAGTCTAATGTTGACGTGCATTAAGGGGTGGCAGCGAGGAGGAGAGGGCTTGGAGTCGGAGCGCCAGATTGGTTCCGCAACGCCATTACAGACCACCATACTGGGTTCATTCATAAATACCAGAGGATCGCCATCTCGCAACGGTGCCATCATTTCGCAGTCGCAGCGAAAGCCCCCCTCCCTTCCCTTTACTCTTCAAAGCAATAATCCCAACAACACCCTCACATCTCACCCCCTCTCTTTCCTGCTGACTGCCAATATGGCTGTGCGGGCATAAGGCTACATACAATGATAGAGTAACGATAGAGGTTATCAAACAACAAATGTGTTGCGTGTTAGCAGCCGGTGTGCATGCGTTTAAATCAATCTGATGCATAATGGAAATAAAATGTTCTGTCCCCGGATGGAGCAGCAGGGATCGTGTGTGCCCAGCAGCCAGCAGAAGGACCGCGGTTACGCCACTGAATACCAACATCTACCCTCCATGTAGGGATGTGGTGCCGAGCAGCATCTCTCCATACCTGGTCGTGAAGTATAGCTCCGCTTCAGGCTCGTCCTCGGTTCAGACGGATGTAAGACAAACGCCGAAAGCGTCTTAAAGCATTTTACACGGTTCATGTAGCGCTCATGTCGTCCGATTTCCAAACACCACCAGCAGACTCTCTCTCTTCCTCTCTCTGCCTCTCTCTCGCATATAGGACGTGGGAGGTGCTATGCCCTCTCCCTTTTCTGTCCACACTGGATTTTCTTTCAGTTTATACACTTCCTACTGGTTGGATGCCAGCAAAAAAACATATTTAAAACAGACTTCCTCCTATTTAGAAATACAAAATATTTAAGTGCAACTGTGGGAATGTTTGGATTCAACGTTAAAAAGAATCAAAGAAAAATGTGCATTCATATTTAAGAGACTTCACAAGCCCCCCCCCCCCCATAATCCTAATATTGATTATGACGAGCCTCAATCTTTTGTGAAATATAACATAAACCTAGTAGATGGTCCCCAAGGAAAACAAATCACATTGAAGCAGCCCAATGGATGACATACAGAGCACAGTCAATCCATTTCATTTCCAAATGTCAACGTTTTAGCCACAACCAAGTATCTATGAGATATAACAGGCTAAGGCAGATTTGCAAATGTGACATGCAAAATAAACAAGTTAAATGTATAAAAGTTAGATTCAGGCATTTGACTAACAATCTTACATTTGTGTTTCTACCATGAATACCCTATAGGCAATATAGGCAAACAGACCTCAAGTAGGCCTTCGGGTTTAAAAATAACAAATAATACATAAATCAAATCAGAAATATAACTGCATCAATCAAGCAGATGTGTCTAAGGAAAGTCGAAATACCAAATTAGATGCATTGTATTCAGTTATATAAGAAAGGTTATATGGAGTGAGATATAGGGCTTTTAATCTTATAACTAAATATATATTAAAGGGAACAAATAAATCACATCTCTTGTTGTCTGATCAGTACCATGGACAGCGACCTGATTTTGTTTCAGCACCCCACACACAGAGAGAGAGAGAGAGAGAGAGAGAGAGGAGAGAGAGAGAGAGAGAGAGAGAGAGATGAGAGAGAGAGATGAGAGAGAGAGAGAGAGAGAGAGAGGGAGAGAGAGAGAGAGAGAGAGACATGAGTAGAGTATAGCTGCACGTGCACTTACTGATAATACAGACATAATAACACAGCAAGATTACATGTAATGGGCGGATAGGAGGGATTGCAGAGTCGATAAACCAGGACGTATATCAGCCCAGTATCAGCACGCACACAATAATTCGCAGCAGGAATGAAAACGTTACAATAACTTCGTTTAAAACCACAAACAAGAGTGAGGAAGCCTAGCTCTGGTGCAAATAAAGACCTGTAATGGAGTCAGACCGGGCCTGGTTCTGTACGTGACGGGCTCACTGTATGACTCACCCTCTCTCCATGCACCAGGCCTCTGTCGCCCTCTGTCTGTGAGCATGGGAGCTGCAGGAGAGAGGCAGACAGTGGGGATACCAATAAGCATTGGGTCAGTTGGGAATGAGATCATGAGCAGGAGAAAAGATCATGCAAGAATAGGAGATATAGCTTTAAAGGTACCACATTATACAGTTTTTCATCAATATATTACAGGTCTCAGATATAGACAAAACATGTCTCTGAAGTGTTTGGCTCCAAACACCAAACAGATCATTGCAGCATCCCATAATCCCCTCTGTTTCAAAAGTGCTGATTCTCTGTCTGTTACTTTACTTTTGGCAATAGATAGATGGGTGGTAGGTAGGTAGGTAGGTAGGTAGGTAGGTAGGTAGGTAGGTAGGTAGGTAGGTAGGTAGGTAGGTAGGTAGGTAGGTAGATAGATACTTTAATAATCCCAATTTCGGAAATTATTTTTGTTACAGGAGCAGTGTGTTAAAACAACATTAAAATACAAATACTTAAAAAGTTGAATAGAGTTAACAATGAAAAATAGTATATCAGATATAAACAATTCTGGATAATTAAATTGTTCTTTAAAAAAGTCAAACATACTGCTGTAGCAGTAATATAGGCTTATTTGCAAATGCCAATGTTTGCAATTTTTTTCCATCTATTTGCAGAAAACATCAAATCTCTCCTGTGGTGAAATTAACATATTTATGTCAGATGCAGGGACAGAATATCATGCTTTTCCATATCGGCGCATTCACTGGGAAAGAAAAATATTCAAAATAGCTTACATCCTACCATCAAACTCAAATCAGGTATAAAAAATGATATTCTAATCTAATATTCTTCCACAAACATTGGGTGATCACAAAACACGAGAGTCTACAGTGGTGCTTTGAGCTAAATACTAACATTGGGATGCTAACATTGACAATGACCTGTATAGCAGTGGCGGTTCTAGACCAATTTGACTGGGGGGGGCCAGTTATTTTCTGAGGGGGGCACAATAAATGCAGGACGAAAAAGAGAACTAGACAGTATGAAGTAATTGCGCATAAGAAAACAATGCAATACAGTTATTGGTATTTGTTTCAGTACACTTATTTATTTCAGATAGATCTTATAGTTATTACTGTTAGCTTCAGCTTAAGTTATAGTGCAATGTTTGCACTAACACCATATTTATATAAAAATAAAGGCAATGAACAGTTACATCTCTACTTTACATAAGGGTGTCTGCACATCTCACATTACAGCAACAAAATCCTGCGGTTTTTGGCAAACCGAGTACCAGAAAATATACATTTAAAAAAAAGAAAACAACTTTTCATTGTTAGGGGGGCCACAGGTCAGTGTTAGGGGGCACTGGCCCCCCCTGCCCCCTAGAACCGCCCCTGCTGTATAGCATATGTAATATTTACCAATATCTTAGATTTGTATGTCTACATTTGCCAAGTAGAATTTAAGAGTAAGCTGAGCTGAGGTGGAAAAACAAAAAAGTAACACTAAGACATGAGTACACCAGATGATGCCTCTTAGGAAAAGTCACCAAAGTCAGTCAGGGTTCATCGTCTGGAAAGTGTGAATGTATGTGCCAGACTTCATGGCAATGCATCTATACGCTGTCAAGACAAAACTAAAATATTTACCTGTTGGTGACACTATGGTTCTCAGCAGGAAACCGATGGACTGTCCACTTCCAAGTAGGGAATGAGTCCTTACCCCAAGTGAAGGAGTTCAAGTATTTCGGGGTCTTGTTCTCGAGTGAGGGAACAATGGAGCGTGAGATGGGCCGGAGAATCGGAGCAGCGGGAGCGGTACTGCAGTCGCTTTACCGCACCGTTGTGACGAAAAGGGAGCTGAGCCAGAAGGCAAAGCTCTCTGTCTACCGGGCCATTTTCGTTCCTACCCTCACCTATGGTCATGAAGGATGGGTCATGACCGAAAGAACGAGATCGCGGATACAAGCGGCCGAGATGGGTTTTCTCCGCAGGGTGGCTGGTGTCTCCCTTAGGGATGAGGTGAGAAGTTCGGTCATCAGGGAGGGACTCGGAGTTGAGCCGCTCCTCCTTCGCGTCGAAAGGAGCCAGTTGAGGTGGTTCGGGCACCTAGTTAGGATGCCACCTGGGCGCCTCCCTAGGGAGGTGTTCCAGGCACGTCCAGCTGGGAAGAGACCAAGGGGTAGACCTAGGACCAGGTGGAGGGATTATATCTATTCGCTGGCCTGGGAGCGCCTTGGGATCCCCCAGTCAGAGCTGGTTGATGTCGCCAGGGAAAAGAAAGTTTGGGGCTCTCTGCTGGAACTGCTACCCCCGCGACCCGACCACGGATAAGCGGCAGAAGATGGATGGATGGATGGATGGATGGATGGATGGTGACACTATGGAGTTCAAAGTGTCAGTCTGACTTCCTAACATCCGTAATGTGGCTGAAAAGAAGCATGTAATTACAAAAAGCCATCTAAAAACTCTGTGTATAAAACATGCTTTCATGCATTGACTTATTTTCTTCTTTGTCCTCTTCTCATCAGCTCTTCAGATATTGTCCGATGCCATTACAGGCCCCACACTCAATACAAGGCGTTGGATCAGGCCAAACAGCAGCACAATGCAATAATTGGGTTTCTGTGTCTAATTTGTGTTTAATCGATAACCTGTCGCCCACCGCTGGCTGAGGGGACACACAACAAACACCCAGCAGACGCATCTCCACAGAAGCCATTTCCGGATGGGTGCCTTCATTCCCCCGTGGCGGTGTGTGGCCATAACAATGACTCCATCCACCATTTCCCATGCATTACATCCAGCGCGCAAACACAAAGGAGCTCCCATTCAGGGCCCCTCAAGCGTGAATACAGAGCCACAGACAAATTAAAGCTCGGGTGGTTAGGCCGTCTGAATGCCAGTGAATGTACTTGAGGACGACAGGTCAAGAGATCGAGTGGATACGACGGATGGGAGAGGAAATCGTTCATGGCAATTGTATCTTTCCACCAAATGTGTAATATTTAGAGTTCAATTATCTACATCCAGCAACAACTGCATATTTAGGCAAATACACTTCGGTGTTATGTGGTTGAGAAATGCTTGATGAAAGGTACCACAAATGTTTTGCAATACTTAAGAGGATTTGCCACCATTTAGAATAGGGTAAGTGAACCATGTATAAATACAGAAGATAAAAGTTCATTAAATACTCCTTCAAAAACACCTTAAATACTCCTTCAAACACACCTTAAATACTCCTTCAAAAACACCTTGAATACTCCTTCAAACACACCTTAAATACTCCTTCAAACACACCTTAAATACTCCTTCAAACACACCTTAAATACTCCTTCAAACACACCTTAAATACTCCTTCAAACACACCTTGAATACTCCTTCAAACACACCTTGAATACAACTTAAATACTCCTTGAAAACACAACTTAAATACTCCTTGAAAACACAACTTAAATACTCCTTGAAAACACAACTTAAATACTCCTTCAAACACACCTTAAATACTCCTTCAAACACACCTTAAATACTCCTTCAAACACACCTTAAATACTCCTTCAAAAACACCTTGAATACTCCTTCAAACACACCTTAAATACTCCTTCAAACACACCTTAAATACTCCTTCAAACACACCTTAAATACTCCTTCAAACACACCTTGAATACAACTTAAATACTCCTTCAAACACACCTTGAATACAACTTAAATACTCCTTGAAAACACAACTTAAATACTCCTTGAAAACACACCTTAATAAGAGATTGTGTTTATGCAAAATGAACTATGATCAAAGCCGAGGTTATAGATCGAGGATTACAATTTCTGAGTTAACAGAAATATGAAAAAACAATTACAGAAATCACTGGCGCGTAAATATTGTAATTTGGTCCAAATCAAATCCCACTTCCTCCTGTAGAGGGCCCCTGAAGAAAGAGAAACACATCTGGAGGTTTAAAGATAAGACAGGCAGACACTTGTTTAGTTCATTAAGGTTCCAGTTTTATTATTTCATCATAGTGAGAAGATAAATTAAGACATGTCAAAGGCAATAGTTAAGATTTAAAACCTTCCATTAGCTCACGCAGACTTAAACGCTTATTAGCACATAAAGGAGTAGAGCTTTAGAGAGCAAGAACACATTAATGACAAGTTCCAGTTTTGATTAACAATGTTAACAATCTTTGTTATCGGTAATTAAAAAACAACCTGCTTTGTAACCGTAATGTTTTCTGTCACAAATGGCTTCGATAGACACAATAACATTCACTGCTGAGAGCTTACAGGCACACAAACGTAATGTCTGCCATCAACACGGTATGTCAAACATAAAAAGGTCACAGTTTTTCAGATTGTCTTGGCAGTACCGATGGCAGTAGACTGATGGTGACGCACAGACAAGCTTTTCAGTTCACCACGTGACGCGGGGGTTCAGCCTCACTCGTCACGGAAATGGAAGAGAGGGCAAGACGGAAGCAGAAAACAACAAACCCACACATACTCACTCTTTCAATTAACACACACACACACACACACACATACACACACACACACACTTCTCACTGGTCCTTTTCATGGTTGAGGGCCCGGTTAACAGCTGGTGGAACAAACAGAGAAAAGAACGTTGCTGTATTTTGTATTTAAGGGTTTCCTTCCAGTGTACTAAGGGGTGATGGCGGGGTTGTGTGTTATCGGGGATGACGTATTTTTGTCTATTGATAGATTTATGATTCGAAAATTTGAAAAAGTAGGGTAGACACGTGGAGATTATCCGGCTGAACAAACCCTGCATTTATCAAACAGGTTGGTTTTCCACACATCTTATTTTTTACAATATTCCAAAATCCTATGGAGAAATCCCGTTGCTTTGTTGTCGAGGGAACCCAGCTTCCTTCCGGGTCGGCCTACAAAAATACGTCATCACCGCACCACTCTATAGCAGTTGATATAGTATGTGGCTCTACTTGCATGTACACTGAGATCTCACCCTCCTTTGTCACCGACTCGGTTATGTTCTTAGCCCTGGCGCTCAGATCGCTGACCATAGTGTCCATGGCGGCCTGGTGCTTCAGGAAAAATGGCCGGATCACACGCTTGTACAACATGTCGGAGCCGTTCCACGTCACCGGAGCCATGCACCAAATCAGGAACAGACACTGAGGAGGAAGCAGAGGGCAGATCTTAGATATCACTTCCTGTCTGAAGTGACACATGTCTGGTTCGTTATCTTCTGCGATAATAATCGGACTGCTTTTGGCATTTCGACTGTTGGTCTGGGTGCCTTGTTTCAGAATATTGCACCGTTTTCTGACATTTAAAAAAGGTCAACTGATTAATTTATGAATTGAAAAAATACCCTGACTATTACTTTCATTTCGAATTAATCTGCAGTTATTCTTTTTTTTACAATTTGTCTAAAAATGTTGCATTAAATGAAAAGTGTTAACATTTCTGTGACATCCCAACTATCGTGTTACATTGCAGGCCAGTGGAAATGAACCATCACTATAAGGCACTGTTTATTAATCTCTTTTTTCCAGGAATATAATATTAAAACCAAACCATTTAAACGAAAGATTAGCGATCATGATAATTATATTATATTGAGAACAAAATGACTACTGCAACTGGTGGGGATTCATATTTCCCTATGAACCCTATGTAGATATACAAACCAATATGCATAGCAAGCAGCTAGTCTACAGGCACAGCAGCATTTTATCGTCATATTTCAATAAAATACTAAAGTACAATAGTGCCACCGTTCACAATGAACTGTTCTTGATTTGCAATGTAGCACTTTGGTCAGAAGCAACCCAAACTAAGTGCATTGAATCATGTGGGTACAACTCCAATAAGTGTGTAAGTACATCACCTTTATCAAATATGCTGATCTACTTCAAGTGTATGTTTTTTTGTACAACGCATTGAGGGACAATTGTGTCTTTAGAATTTGCGTACAGACTGTTTTGTTGACTCACTTTGTCCCTTTGAACATACAAAATATGCAGAATTTGGTCAAAAGTGTTAAGTAATGGGCTGAAACACATATCATCAGCTGTCTGAAGGTCTTCCTCATTGTGACTTTACACAAATTGTCCACAAGAGTGCGCTGTTGGTGTCCGCTTCCATAAACCCTCCCATCGACTGGATTCAACATATTGTGAACTTTGGCTTCACGGTTAAAAGAGACTTATACAGGGTGCAAAGAAAAGGAACGTTTGCTCAATAAATAAAGTGTCAAATATTAACCCATACACAAAAGTTTAAAACGTATTTCAAAAGGCTAGCCGACCTTGCTGGCGTAGTAGAAGGGAAACCAGAAGAGGAAGATGTCGGAGAAGGCCTCGACGATGCTGAAGAGTCCATACACCACCCAGTAGGTCAGCCACTGCGTGTCGTCCTCCTTCACATTGCTCTCGATGGCCTTAATGCTGACAGGACGACACAGATTGATGAGGTGTTAACACGACATACTGCAAACACACAAACACTGGAAACCCTAATACTCTTTTTTTTATGATATGGTAGAATTTGTACTCAACATGCTAGGTTTTCGAAACATTTAACTCACCAAATCACATTTATTCCATCTGTCACATACTTATGTATATACACCTTGCTTTATATCTAGTTATTGTTCATTTGTAAATTCAACATGTATATTTTCTACTTTCTTGTTATTGCCATGTCTTTTTATGCTGCTGCAACACAAACATTTCCCAGATTGGGATCAATAAAGTTCCATCTCATCTTGTTGTATGTAGCCTTCAGGTTCATTTGCAAAATCAAAAAAAAACACATGGTCTGTTTAAGCAGCACTTAAAAGGTAGGGTATAAGAATGGAGAAACCAGCTCGAGTGCGCTAGAATTTGAAAGTACGCAGCCGAAAAAAATCTGCCTCTTCCTACAGAGCCCCTCCTCCAACAATCGGGACGTTAAGAGCATTCCATGGAATATAACAAGTGTTTCTGAAGTGAATGACCTACCCCACCTTTAATGGATAGGTTCTTGTGGGGCTGCACGAAGTGTCTCTGAATAAAATACCAAGATGTACATTAAATGACTTATTGGCCATTTCTTACAGAGCTAAAATGTATCCCTTCCTAACTCCAATTTTGCTGATGGGTTATAAAAAGTCACTGTTTTTCTAAGTCCGTGCAAAATTCATCCTGAAGTTCAGCTAAAGCTAAAATAAGGCATCAGATCGCAGGCTGAGCCAAATTGTGTGGGGAGTTTCCAAAAATGCCAGTCGATTGAGTTCAAAAGTCTCAACTGATTGTGTTGCGGACTGCTTTTATGACTGAGCTGCAGTAAAGAGGTAGAAAACACAAAGAGTGAGATGTGCACCAAAGGATCGGTAGGAACTGAGAGCACTTTATGGCCCTTAAGGGGAGGATTAATGAATACAGGGACCAGTACGTTTTACAGTGTATAAAAGTGTCAAAACAAAAGTCAAACTGTTTTTTCACATCATAATCTTTTAACTTTTCTAGAACGTCAGAGACACCAATTAAAAAGTGAAGAACATATTCACACTAGTGTAAAAGAAACATTGTTAGTAGTCTAGAAATCCATGTAATTGTAATATTAAAAGGATAAAATGTGACTTTTTAAGGGCCAGATTGATTCGCAAAGGAGACACATAGGTGTGATGAATGAGATTTAATAATGAACAAAGGCTCCATTGCATTTCGATGTTTCATTAACACAAAGTGATCCTACTTGCAGTGGAGGTAAGGTCACCTTTTGTTATTAGACATACCTGCTTACATTGCATGTTCTAAATAAATTATCTTTCTATATATTGTGTTGTTTTCACATTTCCTAAAATAAGCCTAACTTCATATCCTTACATTGGCCCCCAACTCGTTTTAGAAAGGATTTTAAGGTTCTGGTTATTAAGATAAGATAGAGAACTTTACTGATGCTAGTTTGGGAAGTGTGTGTTGCAGCAGCATACAAAGACATGCCGTTGTACAATACAAATGAAAAGACAAGAAATAAACAAGAAAGTGGAAAATATACATGTTGAATTTACAAATTAACAATTACATATAGAGCCCTGCGTGGAAATGCACTGGAATATATATGTGACCTTCTCCATCCTTACATCGCTCTGCAGTCTCTGTAGAAGCTTTTTAAAAACGACTGAAGAACTATCTTTTTACACTGGCTTTATTTCCATTTGAAATGTGTGTGATGTGTTCTGTTCTTTCCTTTCAGGACTCCACGTGGTCTGTGTTTTAGTTTTATGTTGACCTTACATTTCTGCCTCATGTGGTTACTCATGTAGTTCAGTCAGACAACTCACGTGTTTCCTAATATGTTTATTATAGCAGCATATAGTTTGAGTTTGGCGTCTAGGCTCGGGCCTCATCACTCCACGGATGTACATAGAACATTGAGTGATGACTAGATAACTATCCCCGAGCCTACAGGTTAGGGCTGTTCAATTAATCATATTTTAATCGCAATTACGATGTTGGCTTGCAACGATTATGAAAACAACATAATCGAAATAAAACGATTTTTTTTTTTTTTTTTTTTAAAATAATAATTAAAAAAAATATTATTTTTTCAGTTGAATTATAAAGTTCAGGGTATTCAACTGTTAAAAACACACTGTTCACATTTTTTTTTCAATAAATGGATGTTTTCAAAGTAAATGGAAATCGTTTTTAATAATCGTGATATCAATTATTGACCCAAATAATCCAGATTATGATTTTTGCCATAATCGAGCAGCAACATGAAACACAGCAGCAGGAACATGAACGCAGCAGTAGCAAGTGAACACAGCAGTGGCAGCAGCAGCAGCTAGCGAGGCAGAGGCAGGAAGACCTGGCAGCTTAAACAGATCGGCATGTTTAGGAGTATGTGTTTGGTTGGTTGTAAAAGGGACGAGGTGCGTCACGTGGTAATGTATCATTGGTGCTCGAGTTGACTGCCTGAACTAGCTCGCAGGCTTTGCCCCATTCATGTTTCTGTGGTCTTAATTGTAACTTTTGTTCTTACTTGTGAATTCTATTTCTGTGAAAGGGGCTATAATAACGTATTATTATTATACATACGAGAAATATGCTGGATAGGCGAATCCAATCAGGTTGCAGAGCAGTGAGGCTCCAAATCCAAACAGCAGATACAGCCCGACCAAACTCAGAGCACCTGCAGGGGGAGAAAGACGAGAGGGGGGGGGGGGGGGGGGGGGGATACAGTTACTTTACAAACACGCCAACAAAGTGTGCCTAATAGCAGGATGTCAGGGCCGGACAGCACCAGGATTAGGAGGAGCACTAACACAAGACAAACACTGATATTCAAATGCAGTCAGGGGAACAGTTCACACAGTCATGTGAAACAGCTTGGCATATTGACCTTAAACACGTGAGAGAGACATTCCACAAAGGCCAGTTGTTTTCCACTTCTTCACATTTGTATTATTGCTGCGAGCTGAAAGTTGAAATTGCCGGGTTGATTGATTGATCGTCAATTAAAAATATGAGCGTAAACTGAGTATATTTGGGATTGGTATTGTGGTCGGCTGAAAGATGTCACCGTTGGCTCTTGAAAAAGGGCAATTTTCTTACATGTTATAACCCAAATAATCTACGATCAACACTAATCCGGTCCTAGTTTAAGGTTTGTAGACGCCATCATAGAGGTGTTAGTTAAATTATACATTTGTGAACACGGTGAGGGCCATTTTTAGAAACCACACCTCAATGTAACGCAGTGATGTACTAAACACCACCTTCTAACTACTACCTTAATAATACACAAGAGCGTTTACACTTAAACACCAATTTTAACAAAAACAAAGGATTATAAACTTCATAAAAAAAGGCAGCGCTATACATTGTACAGTGTTGTCTAATAAAGTGGCCATTTTGTATATCGGATGTTTTACTTTACAGGACAAATACACTTACCCAAAATGTTTTCCAGGATGTCAGCTCTGTGCGATTTGACTACTGTTAACAAAAGCAAGTTGGCTGCAAAGCTTAATCCCCCCTCAAACAGATTGTTGGTTAGCTGGCGGCAAGGCACTGACTTCAAAGCAAATACACTGCAGCCATTTTAGCCTCCTTCCATTACATTTGATTTATCATGAGGAAAACAAGACGAGAGGAATGACGTCTACCCATATATCATTCAAATGTATGCAAAACTCATCTGCTGATATACAATTCAACCATGAGCAATCCCAGAGGCATAATAAAGTCACACAGTATTGACAGCACTTAAGGCCTTTGATACCGCTCATCATCGGCTGCTTTACATCTCATTTGTTTGTTCCAGCTCATAAAACAAATGTCCGTGCAATTCCCAGTCTGCTTATCTATCTCTAATGAGGGGAGAACAGGAGGAACTGGATGAAAGGGAGGACCCCAGAGAGACAGAAGAGATACTCTGCACAGCAGCGCGTTGTATAGGGAAGTATACAACTGACTTATTTAAATACAGGGTTCCTGCAGGTTTCACCAACTCAAATTTAAGACTTTTTAAGACCACTTTGAATAGAATTTAAGACCAATTGCACAGCAAGAAAGTATGAAGGAAAATTGCTATGAAAGAAGAAATACGTCCCATAATTACTTACAAAGTAAATGTATTCACCTTCAACATAAGAACGATGACTGAACATAACAGCACACAGAACTGTTAGCATGTTAGACAAAAAGTGTGTGTGTGTCCTAGCATTACTATCCTTGTGGGGACCAACATTACACAGTCACGAGTGGGGACTGGCTTGCCTTATGGGGACAAAATGGAGGTCCCCATAAGGGGTATCATTCATTTTAGGGTGAAGACTTGGTTAGGGTTAGGCATGTGTTGGTTATGGTTAAGGTTAGGATAAGTCTTCAGGAAATGCATGTAAGTCAATGTAATGTCCCCTGAAGTGATGTAAGCATGGTATGTGTGTGTGTGTTACGCCCCCCCCCCCTCTAGGGTAGAGGAAATTAATATACACCAGTATGGAATTGGTAAAGTTATAACAACAGGTGAACAAAAAGGTAGGCAAACACAAGTGGCCAAAAGGGCGCAGGTTTAGCTAAAGAGCAAACAAAAAGAGGACTCTAGCAAAGGAAGCCTGATCAAATAAGAATAAAGGTTTACAAACAAAACCTACCAACAAAAGGAGACTGTAACAAAACACAGCTATGGTGTAGGACAACAGTTCAGGGTAAGGCTATCCTAACACAAACACCACTAATCACAATAATGATAACACGACCACACAAGGTACACAGTTAACAACGTTAAGACAGTTGCGAGAGGCGTCTGTTCACAAGCGACAGAGCCTCCTGAATGTTCCCGGTCGACAGCGTTTTGTAGTCCTCCCCCGGAAGTTGCATGCTGGAGGTGTGCAGTGATTGGAGGACGTCGGTCCAATCACCTCTCCGGAAGCGTAGACGGGACAGCCAATGGCATCCTGGGAACCTCAAGGTGCATAGTAATCGGGAGGACATTACGAGGGTTAAATGCACTGGGGAGCCAACAGTGTGTGTGTGTGTGACAAGAGCTATCGTCTGAGCCCTGCCAACCTTTCATCGTTGCTGTTGTAGGATCGGTATTTATCTACGGTATTTAGCGTCCACCGCACCTCAGCTTTTAAAGTTGACCCAAACGTCGCCCGGAGGTCCCCCGATGTTGTTGTTCGTGGTTCCATGTTGATTTATTTCAATACAACTTGTTGGGGGGAACTGAAGGGCTATTACCGTACTGGTTACTTTGCAGCTCGGACATTTCCCCCAAAACACATTTAGACGTGATCGCAACACAGAAGTAGCCTACCTTTCAAATACGATCATTTTTAAGACCTTTTAAATCATAATTAAGACCTTTCTTATTTTTTTGATCATATTTAAGACTTTTTAAAACCTTAAATTCTGATTATCAAACTTAAGATTTTTTAAGACCCCGCGGGAACCCTGTAAATATGTACATAATTATGAATGATGAAAAACTGCTACCAGGGGTCCATGAGACTTTCCAACTTCTGTACTGCACAAAGAAAAAGAACAATGCTGCCATGTGGCCTGACCTACATTGTACAGCCTTGATGGAAAACACATGTTCTTTTTGTGGAAACACCAAAAATCAAAAAGGCACAAAAGCCATGAGACCGTTGTGTAATCCTGTGTGACTCACGCTGCTCATTAGAGCTGCAGGCGCTGTAATTCGGCCTAAAGTCCAGTTCCTCTTTGCATCAAACCATCACAAAAACGCATTGTTAGGAGTACAGCGGGTGAGAGGTTGAAATTGAACATGAAGCTAACAAATAAGGTCTCAGAGATCATTAGACTGAATCACACTTATGTTTATACCAAATACATCTGTCTATAATTAACATATTTGTATTTACATTACTAGAATATACTTTCATCTACTGTGCCGTATTTCTTCTTTTTTCTTATCACCTGAATCTCCTCCTAGAGCACCATTGAGTTCTTTGTAACCATATATCTCTCAGAGGGGCGTGGGGAGGGGCTCCTTATTTTCATCTAAAGTCACAGACAGAGAATCAGCACTTTGTAAACAGGGCTGAAACAGAGGGGATTGTGGGTAATGCTGCAATGATCTGTTTGGTGTTTGGAGCCAAACACTTCAGAGACATGTTCTGTATCTGAGAGCTGTGATATATTGATGAAAAACAGTATAATAGGGGAGCTTTAAGATGTGTAATGCCAACAACTACGCTGTAGCTTTTTGCAGATGACAAATCTCACTCCATGAGTTTGGCTGCATATGAGGCATCTCTACTCTACTCATCTCTCACTTCAGAGTGTCCCAAGAGACAGCATGAACTCGAGACGTTTCTGAGCTAATCAATGTATGGTTTAAGAGACAGCGCTCTGTCACTCTGTTCGACTGACATGCAAAGGCAAAGTGCAACATAACATTACAGTGAGGCAACAGGAAACATAACATATTCCTGTATGTAACCCATTATTAAAAAGGACATATTCGACTACAATGGCCAAATGATGAAATGTCTAATAAGTTAGTACTGCAAATAGTATTGCTCAAAGTGTAATTTAGCCGCTCTGTCTGCTCCTACCTCAGAGTCGAGTTGAGTGATATTTGGAAAACAATCTGCAGTATTTGTTTTGAAAGCCAGTTTGGTGATGTGTGTGCGTGAGCTACAAAAACATGGAAGTATTTAAATGCAGATCTGACTGAGCTTTAACGGACACAGGGTGTATGCAGGAATCCTGAAGTCAGATGTAAACCTTTTAAAACCTTTTCTAAGACCCTTTCCAAACATTTTAAGACCTCATCGCCACTTGGAGTTTTAACCGGTTACCTTGGCGACACACTTTACCTCACATTGACTATATACAGTATTGATTGTCCTTCCTCCTTATCTTCCAACCATTTGGACGCAAACTTGCATTTCCCCATAACGATGTTGCTTAGCAACCGGCGCAAACGGACCTTCGCACTATCAAGCATTGAGCGTGCGATGTCCTGTTCAGACGACGTCAAATCCAACGGGATGCCATCAATAAACTACACAGAATCACACTACACACCTACGCCATGATTACATTCAGGCAGACTGTAGAACACAACCTCTTTGGACCATTTATATACTTATTGGAAACAAGCTACAAAATGTAATACCTTGGAAAATGCCCTTTAATACTTTTTAATAGCCTTCATTTCCGCTAAATTGATTGATCAACTTTTAATACTTTCTAAGACCCCGTGGACACCCTGGGACACCAACTGAACCTCCTGAACAGTCATATTCAGTAAGGCAGGAGTAACATATCGACTCATATTAGCTTATCTCTGTAACATCAGTATTGACCGATAAGCATCAAAAACATGCAGTAGAGAAACCCCAAAGATATGTGAGCTGTAGTTTAAAGATATTTCTCAAACTTATGATTACTTTTATAATCAAATGGTTTTCAAATGGCAACAGCAACACATTTCCATCACTATTTCCTAATTTGTACAACCAACACAACAAACGTCAAACTTCAATTTAGAATTTTGTAAAACAGGGAAAAGCAGCATATTTAAATTAATGCCATTTGCAGGGGCTTTTATAAACATGCTTGTGATCCAGGCGGGAACAGCATTAAACATCCATACCATGGCATTGGGAACTTAAAATGTTGTTTTTTAAAAATGCATATCTATGCTGTGTTTAGTGGTTTGAATGTAGGTCACCCTGGCTCTCAAGCTTCCTGTTATCATGTGGCATTGTATGCAAAAATGTTGAAGTGTTTGGCCTGGTATTGAATTCTACTGTCAACAGAGTTTAGTCAAAACACAACCTCTTAAAACTAAGAGCAGACTGCAGATGAAAACCAGTCATGCTAGAATGTCCTGCCATCTTTGCTTTGCACTGGATATTTCAGGACGTGATAAAAATACCCCTGGGACCAGCTGCTGGTGGGATATTACAAGCTGTTAATTTCAACAGCAATACACTGAAATAGGGATGTGTAAAGAGGATTATACAAACTCTAATCTTGTAATGTCTGAGCTGGATGAACTTTGGTATTCGAGCATGAGAAGGGCAATAAAATGAGCCAGCTAACAGTGCCAGAGGATATGAAAAACCACACTGAAAAGCAGAGGTGGGAGAAGGACTAAGATCTTGTACTTGAGTAGAAGTGGAAATACTCAGATATTGTACTTGAGTAAAAGTAGAAGTACCAGAGTGTAGGAATACTCTGTTACAGTAAAAGTCCTGCATTCAAAATGTTACTCAAGTAAAAGTATAAAAGTATTACCATTAAAATATACTTAAGTAGTCATTGTGCAGATTTGTCAATTTCAGAATAATATATATGATATGTTTTATAATGATTGATCATTAAAGTGTTATCAAAGCTGGTAAAGGTGATGACTTTGTATACTGCAGGGTAGCTTGTGAATTTACAGGTGGAACTAAAGTCTGATATTTCACATCATTCATCCAAATATATGAAGTAAAATGTAGTGCAGTAAAAGTACACTATTTACCTCTGTATAGAAGTGGGGTAGAATAACAAAGTAGCATACATTGGAAATACTTAAATAAAGTATCTCAAAATTGTACAGTGCTTGAGTAAATGTACCACCTCTGACAATGAGCCAGCTAACAGTGCCACAGGATATGAAAACCACACTGAAAAGTACTGAACAGTGTGACCAAAACCGGTTTAAGTTTTAATGCCAAACCAAATAAAGTGGCATCACATTAGCTCAACTAGCTTGGTTGTTTGCTCAACATGGAGAGTAACTAGCTAGTTGTTATGGAGGGGGACGTGGAGCACCTAAGCAAGTTCGGTACTTACTTTCTTTGGAAGTACAAACAGAAAAACTGATTGGTTGAGTTTGGCTTTCTTTTTGAGACTTTAACTTACCCACGGTGATATACTCTCTTTTCACTCCCGTTTTGTGTTCCAACGTCGCCAACTGGTCTGTCACAAAGTTCTTCTCATGGAGCAGAGTCACGAAGCGCTCCTTAAACTGACTCATTTTCGGGCTTTTTCCTGACACAAACAGCACAGACACACAGCAAATGTTATACGAGTCGATGATTGATTTTTGATAGAAAACGAGGGGTTATTTTACCAACCTTGGGTGGGTGAATTGCCCGAAAACTTGCCGCTGGATGGCTGGCTGCTGACTGCTGACTGAGTTGCGATGGCAGAGGGGGAGGAGTCTGCCTGACGCCCGCTGACCAATCACAGAGCTCTGCTGAGTTTGACTGCAGCAGGTGATTAAACGGTTTACTGTGTGCTGGAAACGGGCTCACAATATATGACCAATAATTAAAACATTGTGGTAGCACTGTTAAAAACATTATTAATGAATATTTAATCTGATATGTGAAACTAAATGTTTCCTTTATTTATTGTATGTTTTATTTGTAATACTTTATAGGCTATGTCTACCCCTGATTTCATGATGTTCACGTATGTTCTTGAATAAATAAAGGAAAAGGTTTGCTGAGACTAGAGGCCATTTCTGCCATATAGAGAGGGAAAAGACACATCCTGTAAGTCAGTATACTAAGTAACTTTCTCCCATTTCTGATTTGGCCTCCCTATTATGGATGCCCATACCTATTTCTGCCACAGAGAGGAAAATAAGAGGATGCAATAGGAGAAAACTACTCAAAATACTGATTTGGCACTTCAAAAATAATGAGAAATGTTGTCAATATTTGACTTAGTTATTCATTATTTTGAATGGAAGACTATTTCCGTCACTGAGACGAAAACAAAAGAGGATCTTTAAGTAATTTTTATAAGTAGGCCTAACTATTTCCAAATAATGACTTAGTATCTAAAAAAATAATGACATACTAAGTCAAAATAGTGTCAGAAATATTAGTATATATTAAGTCAAAATAATCGTAATCATAGTTTATCAGTCAAACGGGAATCCAAGTGGACCCTGTTACAGCAATTGTTTAAAATACTGTTTGGTACATTTCATGGGATTTTATGGGAAGAAGTACCGTCGGTATAAACTTAAAGTACCCAAGCCAACTTATCATGGAGAAGGGTGTCACTGGATTTTAATAAGAGATCCAACAACAAGTCCATCATTTTAAATGTGCAGCTGTAAAGGTGGAGCTAACAATAATGACTTTTTATACTGAAGTGCATCAATATTCATTTGTTGAATTTATATGATAAAAGTGCAGTTTGTCAGGTTTTCTTACAAATTGGGCCACCATAGGGGACACTTAATCATATTTGATCTGCAACAGGAACATCCAAGAGACGTTTAGTTTGAACATGATTTGACCCCTGACCTCCCCTGAGTACACAGGTGTCAAAGCAGAGGCATTAGGACCAGAGATGGCAAAAGTACACACATCCTTTACTCAAGTAGAAGTACAGATACTCGTGTTAAAAAATACTCTGGTAAAAGTAGAAGTACTGACTAAACTTCTTTACTCAAGTAAAAGTAAAGAACTATGGGCTTTGAAATGTACTTCAGTAAAAAGTACCCATAACTACCAGCTGTTTTAAAGAGTACCTGACCTCCCTTCATATTAATAGAACAATAATGTAATTGTTAGCTAATGAATGTTTCCATGCTGAACAACGGCAACATGACAACGTTTCCATTGGTCCCTCTTCTTTAGAGAAGACCAGGAAGTGATGGATACACGGATCGTGTTCAAATCAACAGGCACGCAATGACTCTAAAGAATAATGATCACGCACCAAACACACATTCAAACTAAAGGAACCAGCTGTTTGGAAAATGAGAGAAGTAGAAAGTACAGGTATTTGTGTTCAAAATGTAAGAAGTAGAAAGTTCAGGTATTTGTGTTCAAAATGTAAGAAGTAGAAAGTTCAGGTATTTGTGTTCAAAATGTAAGAAGTAGAAAGTACAGGTATTTGGGTTCAAAATGTAAGAAGTAAAAGTAAAAAGTCGTCAGAAAAATAATTAGTGGAGTAAAGTACTGATACCATAAAAATGTACTCAAGTAAGGTAACGAAGTATTTGTCTGATTAGGACTAACAAAGTGATGATCATGAAAAGAGCTAAGGGACAAGTACAAATTCATTTTCATGTCAATATGAAGTTGTTCGAAACCTGGATAGCCAGCAGAGGGCAGCCTTCATCTATTAACAGAACAAATGTCCGTCGGAAACTTTGCACAGACAGAAACAGCAGAGAGTTGAGGAACAGAAAGTTATACATGTTCTTAATGAGTCCACAGGGAGATATAGCCTCTACTTACTCCACCTCCATCTCTCTCTCTGTTTCACAAGGACAGGTGTCTGTTTGCCTTTCTTAAATGTTATTTTGCATGATTTGAATGCTTCACTGCTTCTCAAAGTTTCATGAAATCTCTGTATGTGTTAATGTCAGACAAACAGACATATCATACAAATATGTTCTTCCATTCAGATGATAGACGGTGTAAATCCAGACAGTGTTCCTCCTGGTTTCGTGTCCCACGTTGCCTTCAGTGTGCTGAGAGCAGAGACATCATTTCCATAGAGAGGAGGCTTTGCATGGTCAGCTGATCCTCCAGTGAACTGAGAAGGTTTATAGTCCTGTGAGTTCAACACTGCAGGACTCACATGTGTCAGTCAGCAGAAAGCACCATGACTCTCATCACCATCCTCATCTGGACGCTGGCCTGCTGCTGTTTCACAGGTTCATTCACTCAGCAACATTTCAAACATCATGTGCTGCCTTTCCTCTCCTTTCTTTCTGCTGAGAAATCAATGATCTGTTTCTGTGTGCAGGATGCAGCGGTCAGACTGTGACTGTGACTCAGCCTGCAGTCGAGACGTCTGCTCCAGGATCCACCGTCACTCTCACCTGTAAAGCCAGTAGCAATGTTTACAGATGGGGTAGTAATGATTGTATGTTCTGGTATCAACAGAAATCTGGACAGCCTCCAAAGCTCCTGATAAAATATGCGAGCACACTTGAATCAGGAACAGAACCTCGGTTTAGTGGCAGTGGAAGCGGCTCTGACTTCTCTATGACCATCACTGGACTGAAGGCTGAAGATGCAGCAGTTTATTACTGTCAGAGTCTCCACAGTGGCCCAGTGTTCACACAGTGATTTGTCGTCGTACAAAAACCTCCCTCAGTCAGACTGCAGAGACTCTGAGCTGTTACAGCAGGAACCACCTGCAGCTGCTGAAGAGGAAGAGACTGACACAGCCCACTGAACTCAGAGCTGACAGGAACCCACCCAGCACTATTCACTTCTTATTCTTAAATATACATAATCTTACTACTCATTGAGATTAAACCCAGTTCAAAAAAACACATTTGATGTAAAAACAGCATTTCACACAAACCATATTATGATCTCTGCTTCTCACTCCAAAGTATTATTGTAACTATTTACATTTAGGAGCAAGGCAGCTTTAGTTTCTCTCAGCTGTTGGGGCTCCATTATCTCCCTGACCTCAGATCAGACTGATATGATCTCTGTCTCCATCAGTGTTGCAATTCCTATTTCAGAAAATCATGTTTTTTTTATCTTATTTCTTTATTTTGAAACCTCCTACCCCAAAACCAATCACAGTTTTGGTCTCATTACTGAGCCGAAAACAAATGAGCTTTTAACTCTCAAGCGATAGTGTTCAGACGAGCTACTGACTGTTCTAGCATCCTTGCTACCAATTGACCGATCCCAAATGTTTTTTGTACATTTCAAGACAATTTCTCTTTTATGGCAGCCAAAAATAACCCAGAAACATTTGTCCACATGTCGCCAGGAGGAGGACTTTAAAGCAGGACCATCTCTGACCTCTCTGTCCTTATTCTCCTCTCATGAATATAACACACTGAACACAAATGACCTCCCTCCGTTAGTTTGTAGCTATCATTAAATACCCAAGAGGAAATCAACGTGACATCATATCGAATCATTTTTGAAATTGTAATGTTTTTTATGAGGCGACAAATGAAGCCACACAAACTCCTTTGTTGTTCCCTCAGGCGGGGTTCAAACCCTGTTTCTTCATACTCAATCTTTGTCCTTCCCCGCCGGACCAAATGAACCAGAGACTAAAAAGGTGACACTGAAGATGCAGAAAGTGTATCTTCTTTAACCTGCAGAGAAATTAAGCATTTATTTCGTCCTAAAACAGATTTACTTAAGACCGGGTTCAAATCCCACCTGGACTGTGTGTTTCCCTTCAGTCAACCCACAGCAGACTGTTTCATAGTAGCTGTTTTTATTGTGAAAATGAACTCAATCATGTTTTTCTGCAATGGGAGCATCCAAGAGACGTCTGACACAATTTGAACTCTGAAAATCAGCAATCAGTTTTCATTCCTCACACATTTCACATTTATATATTCAGTTTAATATTTAATATTCCATCTGTCACATACTTATATATAATACCTTGCTTTATATCTTGTTATTGTTAATTTGTTAATTCAAAATGTATATGTTCTACTTTCTTGTTTATTTCTTTAAATGTGTATTGTACAATGCCATGTCTTTGTATGCTGCTGCAACACAAACATTTCCCAAACTGGGATCAATGAAGTTCTCTCTTATCTTATCTTAATAACCAGAGGAGACTGTGAAGTCCATCGTAGACGGACAACTTTTGGACAAAATGTCCTCTCCATTAAAGGCAGCTCGTTGTGGAATAGCCTCCCAACTCAGATACGGGATGGTCCCACTCTCAATAGTTTTAAAGGTCAACTCAAAGAATGGTTGAGCAACAAACAGACGTGTAATCACCGCTAAATGCACTTTAACACAGGGGTGCCTCCTCTTGCACTTTAGGTAGCTCTTTTATCTTATCTTGCACTTAATATATCATAGCTGCTACATTGTACTGCCAATTGTACTGTAAATGCTTGTATTCTGCTCATGCTCTTCCTGCATATCATGTATTTATTTTTGCTATGTATATAAATGTCATGTTCTTATATGTTGTATGTGACGGGACTACGGATGGAAATGAGCTCAAAGCTAAAATCCGGCTCATTTACACTTGTAAGCATTATTTTTGTTTTAAAGTGTTCATCAATGTGCACTGTCCCGGTTCAAATAAACGATTAAATGAAATGAAAAATGAACCTTAAAATACATTCTAAAACGAGTTGGGAGCCAATGTAAGGATATTAATTTTAGTAAATGTGAAAACAACACAGTATAGAAAAATAATTTATTAAGAACATGCAATCCAGTGAAGTCTTTTTTTTGTCTTT